TCGGTAACTTTGCCTGACGTCATGTGCCGGGTGTTCCAAGTCCCCTCCAGTGGATCATCGGGTGGATTTTTTTTTAGGTGTTCCAATGTCTTTCAATCAGTGTGATGGGCTTGTTCCCCTAGTCCCCTCCATATCATGTGACATCGGGTGTTCCAATCTTCCCAATCATGTGACAAGTTCGGGACAATTTCCAATCCCCCCTCCCAATCTTGTGAGTCGAGGGTGTTTCCAATCCCCTCCCCATCTATGTGTTCGGGTGCATCAAATGGGTGGAGCAGACATCTAGGGAGGTCAGGTATTCAAATGGGGGCGGGGCTCCCAATTGTGGGTCATGGTGTAATCCCCTCCCATCATGGTGATTTAAGGTGCTTAATTCCAAGCCCTCCATGGACACAGGTGGGCTCCGTCCCTTTGTGTGCAGGGGGGCTGAACTGTTACGATACATTGATGGAGTAAATGGCGCCGCTGCTCTCAGGTGGCTTAGTTGAATTGGGTCCCCGTGCATAGGGTGGCCACTCTGGGCACTAAGTCTCACAGTCGGACACTCACTCCTGGCTACTAAAATAGGACAATCGCTCTAACTGGTAACGGTATCCTCCATAACAAAGTGAACAAGTTTCCAGACTCCAGCCACTCTGCTTACCATAGTCCGCGCGCCCCGCATGCGGCACCATGAAGAGGCGGGGTCAGCGCATGCTTGAAGCATCAGTGCGCACCAAGTCGCAACTGTTCTGCCGGGAACAGCTTAAAGACCGGGGGACTTGGTGTAGACTTCAGAAGTTTCCACAACATGCGTAGAGAGCTCCATGGAATGGGATGACATGGCCGGGCAGTGAAGACAAAGCCTTCCATCACCAAGTGCAATGCAAAGCGTCGGATGGTTTTTAAAGCAACGCCGCCACTGGACTCTAGAGCAGAGGAGATGTTGTTGGTCTGGAGGGACCAAATCTGACGTTGTCTGGGGCCCTCCAATGTCATGTGGGTTTTGGCGTCGTGTCCAAGTGGGGGCAGGGTGGTGGTTGTGGGGGAGAACGGGTTACTTGCCCTGACCTGACATTTATATGATTGTGCCAAGTGGTGAAAATGTTTGGTGGAGGGGATTCAAATGATGGTGTGGAGTTGGTCTTTCAGGGGGTTGGGCTTGTCCCCCTAGTTCCAATGGGAAGGGAACTCTTAATGGTGACATTTTGGACCAATTTCCATGCTCCCAACTTTGTGGAGGAGTGGGACAGTAATTGGGGAGGTGCATCAAATGGGGGTGGGAGCAGACATTAGGGAGGTCTACTATCAAATGGGGCGGGGGCAGTAATTGGGGGTGGGGTAGTGAGGAGGTCCATCGGTTGGGGGCGGGGTAGTTGGGGGTGGGGCTCCGGGTCATTTGTGTGAAGGGGGGGGAACTGTTCGATAGAAGTGATGGAGTAAGATGGGCGCCGACCTGTCCTCGGTGAGGTGAATTGGGTGGGGTGTGCAGCGGGATACCCCACTTTGTCTCACAGTCGGGACACTCAGCGCCATACTAAAGGTTGGGTGTGCACTCTATGGTAACGATCCTCAGCCACGGAACGACCCAGTGACTCCGCCCTTCTGCTGTACCTCGCGGCTCCCGCATGCGGCTCCAGAAGGCGGGCCGGTGACATCGTCACCAAGTGCATGCGCTGTGAAACAGGAACCTGGGGAGGGGTAGACTTCATAAGTTTCCACAACATCCCGGGGATTGGTGGGGAGGACAGCCGGGGAAGTCCATCAGTGGGGAGCATTATTTGAGAAGCTGTCTATCAATGTAAGAGGGGCGGTAGTTGGGGGGAGTTTTGTCTGGTGGGGGTAGTTGGGGGGTCTGTCACGTGGTGTGGGCCAGGTGGTGGTAGTGGGGGGCAGGTGAGTGGTAGCTGGGGGGGGGGGTCTGTCAGTGGTGTGGGGCAGGTTGGTGGTTGTTTGGGGGGGGGTGTCGCTGTCAGTGGTGGGGGAGCAGCTGTGTAGTTGAGGGGGGGGGGTCTGTCAGTGGTGGGGGGCTGCAGTGTGAGTGTAGTGAGCGGGTCTGTCATTGGGGTGGGCGCTGGTGGCGGTAGTTGGGGGGGAATCTGTCAGTGGATGGGGGCATGGAGCGCCTGTGGTAGGTGGGGTCTGTGCAGTGGTGGTGGTTGAGGGGTGTGAGCGTCTATCAGTGGGGGGCAGGGGATGTTCTGTGGTAGTTGTGGGGGGTGTGAGGGTCTGTAAGTGGATGGAAGTGTGCTGCCATGTTTTACGATCGATGTTACTCGTGCACAACCTCGTCCTTTCAGTGTCACCCAGCACCCTGGGTGTGTGGTACGAGCGTTGCGCTGTAATAACGACGGTTGTGTGCACTGTCACGGATCTGGATGTGAGCGCTTTGGTACGATGGAGATGAGCGCTGTCACGGATCTGGATGTGAGCTCTGTGGCGTTGTGGATGGGTGTGAGCGCTGTCACGGATCTGGATGTGAGCTCTGGTACGATGGGTGTGAGCGCTGTCACGGATCTGGGTGTGCGCGCTGTCACGGATCTGGATGTGAGCGCTGTGGTACGATGGGTGTGAGCGCTGTCACGGATCTGGATGTGTGCGCTGTGGTACGATTAGTGTGAGCGCTGTCACGGATCTGGATGTGAGCGCTGTGGTACGATGGGTGTGAGCGCTGTCACGATCTGGGTGTGAGCGCTGTCACGGATCTGGATGTAAGCGCTGTAGTACGACGGGTGTGAGCACTGTCACAGATCTGGATGTGAGCGCTGTGGTACGACGAGTGTGAGCGCTGTGGTACGACGGGTGTGAGCACTGTCACGGATCTGGATGTGAGCGCTGTGGTACGAGGGTGTGAGCGCTGTGGTACGAGGGGTGTGAGCGCTGTGGTACGAGGGGTGTGAGCGCTGTGGTACGAGGGGTGTGTGAGCGCTGTGTACGACGGGTGTGAGCTCTGTGGTACGACGGGTGTGAGCGCTGTGGTACGACGGGTGTGAGCGCTGTGGTACGACGGGTGTGAGCGCTGTGGTACGACGGGTGTGAGCGCTGTGGTACGAGGGGTGTGAGCGCTGTGGTACGATGGGTGTGAGCGCTGTCACGGATCTGGGTGTGAGCGCTGTCACGGATCTGGATGTAAGCGCTGTAGTACGACGGGTGTGAGCACTGTCACACAGATCTGGATGTGAGCGCTGTGGTACGACGAGTGTGAGCACTGTGGTACGACGGGTGTGAGCACTGTCACGGATCTGGATGTGAGCGCTGTGGTACGAGGGGTGTGAGCGCTGTGGTACGAGGGGTGTGAGCGCTGTGGTACGAGGGTGTGTGAGCGCTGTGGTAGGACGGGTGTGTGAGCGCTGTGGTACGACGGGTGTGAGCGCTGTGGTACGACGGGTGTGAGCGCTGTGGTACGACGGGTGTGAGCGCTGTGGTACGACGGGTGTGAGCGCTGTGGTACGACGGGTGTGAGCGCTGTGGTACGACGGGTGTGAGCGCTGTGGTACGAGGGGTGTGCGCGCTGTGGTACGAGGGGTGTGCGCGCTGTGACGGATCTGGATGTGAGCGCTGTGGTACGACGGGTGTGAGCACTGTCATGGATCTGGATGTGAGCGCTGTGGTACGAGGGGTGATGTGCGCTGTGGTACGAGGGGGTGTGCGCTGTGGTACGAGGGGTGTGAGCGCTGTGGTACGAGGGGTGTGAGCGCTGGTACGAGGGTGTGAGCGCTGTCACGATCTGGATGTGAGCGCTGTGGTACGACGGGTGTGAGCACTGTCATGGATCTGGGATGTGAGCGCTGTGGTACGAGGGGTGTGTGCGCTGTGGTACGAGGGGTGTGTGCGCTGTGGTACGAGGGGTGTGTGAGCGCTTGTGGTACGAGGGGTGTGAGCGCTGTGTTTAACGGTACGAGTGTGTGCGCTGTGGTACGAGGGGTGTGTGCGCTGTGGTACGAGGGGTGTGAGCGCTGTCACGGATCTGGATGTGTGCGTTGTGGTATGACAGTGTGAGCGCTGTCACGGATCTGGATGTGAGCGCTTTGGTACGACGGAGATCGAGCGCTGTCATGGATCTGGATGTGAGCGCTGTGGGACGACGGGTGTGAGCGTTGTGGTACGAGGGGTGTGAATGCTGTCACAGATCTGGATGTGAGCTCTGTGTATGATGGGTGTGAGCGCTGTCACGGATCGGGGTGTGAGCTCTGTGGTATGATGGGTGTGAGCGCTGTCACGGATCGGGGTGTGAGCGCTTTGGTACGACGGAGATTGTCATGGATCTGGATGTGAGCGCTGTGGGACGATGGGTGTGAGCGCTGTGGTACGAGGGGTGTGTGCGCTGTCACAGATCTGGATGTGAGCTCTGTGGTATGATGGGTGTGAGCGCCGTCACGGATCGGGGTGAATTCTACACAGAATGCACGATTGATCATCAGTGCACTAACATCCTCTGAAAATAAAGACAATGAAAGGGTTGAAGTGTTGCGTATAGGATGGACACTCATTAGTGCAAGTTATTGTAACACACTGTACTGATTTCACATTGGAACACAGCGAGGGGCCCCTCACACAGGGCGAGGTGACTTCCAAGGGCCCCTCACACCTCAGTCACCTCACACACAGAGCTGCACTGTACACTTCCCCCCACCAGCAGGCGCTCGCACCCCGCTCCCTGTGAAGGTCACGTCGTCCTCGTCCTGACACGTGCGCTACGTGCACCAGCGCCCAGGGGGCAGGGCTAAGACATCTGGAGGATGCAGTCCGCGGCCATGTTTGAAAAGGGCATCTTTGCCAATTCACCGGCCTTGAAACGCTTCATAGCCTAATAGGGAGATGGAGTTTCGCGGTTGAATTAGATGACAGAATTAGTTTGTAACATTGCATTTCACTTTTTTAAACACACGTATCTGCAAATCATTGCCAGATTACCGAGAAGCCTGTTACCGTTTGCGATAAAAAGAAAGAAATCCTGTCAAAGCGCTTTGCGCATGCTCGTTAGCCGTCCAAGACGGGGAGGGCTGAGTGAGTGCCTTACGCCCCCTCGTTTCCACGCCCTCTCCTCGGGGTCTGTCAGCGCATGCGCGGAGCCCGCTGTCTTCTGCAGTGTGACATCCCGGTCAGGAGAGAAGAGATGGCAGCTTATAAGATCGTGCTGATCCGCCATGGGGAGAGCACCTGGAACCAGGAGAACCGCTTCTGTGGGTGGTTCGATGCCGACCTCAGCGACACCGGGATGGAGGAGGCCAAGAGGGGCGGACAGGCTCTGAGAGGTGAGGGGGGGAGGGGTGATTGATCTCCCCATCGTGTGTAAAGAGGGTATCAAATAATACATTCATTAAGGTGTATATGTGGTGTACAAATAGTGTCAGCTAATATATATATATATATAGTACAATGAAAAATATACTGAAAAAAATCCAATTTCATATATATTTACATAGTATAATATAGTCCTATGAGCATATATATGACAAAAATTGAATCTAAAAAAAGTAAATGTGCATATATGTAATAACAAAAAATATATATATTATTTTAATATCTAAATTATATTTCCATTAAAAAAAAGTAAAATATTTATAGAAATAATACTAATAATATATTTTACATTACACCATAACATACAAAGTGTAATTAAAAACAAAGTGATAAAACTAAAAAAAAAATTATATATAAAAAAAAATACTAATAGTTAAAAGAAAAAATGTGTGTGTGTGTATGTATGTGTATATATATATATATACTATATATATATATCTCACCAAAATATAACATATATAGTATTATAATAATATATGCCTCTAAAAGTGTGTGTATAATAAATATATATGTGTGTGTGTCTGTCTGTGTGTGTGTATAATAAAAAAAAAATATATATATATATATTTTTTTTTATTATTATACACACACACAGACAGTAAACACATATATATATTATTATACACACATGCCTTAAAGGCATGTATTATTATAATATATATATGTTATATTTTGGTGAGATATATATATAATAACGTGTGTGTGTGTGTACACATATACAGTTAGGTCCATATATATTTGGGCACAGGCACAATTTTAGTTTTTTTCAGGTATTTACCAAAACATATTCAAGCTAGAGTTATATAATATATATGAGCTGACAGTGCGCACTCTCAGGTGTAATTTGAGGGTCAATACCTGGAAAAAAAAAAACTAAATTTGTGTCTGTGTCCAAATATATATGGACCAACCTGTATATATGTATGTGTGTGTGTGTATATGTGTGTATATATATGTATATATATATATATATATATATATATATTGTATGTGTATATATATAATCTCCAAAAACATTTTTATAAAAAAAAAATAGAAATATAAAAAAATGTGTAATAGAGAAATCCTATACTTAAATGTGTGTATATATATATCATTTAAATATTTAAAAAAAAGAAAAAAAAAAAAAAAATTATATATTTTTTTTTATTTTTTTTTTTATATATATAAAATATATATATACTCTCAAAAAAAACATTTTTAAAAAAAAAAATAGAATGACATAAAAAATGTGTAATAAAGAGAGAAATCTATACTTAAATGTGTGTGTGTATATATATCATAAAATCAATAGAAAAAATATTAAAAAAAAAAAAATAAATAAATAAAAAAAAAATTATATATATATATATATATATATATATATATTTTATTTTTTTTTTAATTGTGTTTGTATATGTTCCCTCTTCCTATACTCTGTATGGTGGATGCAGGCGATGTGTGTGGTGATGACGTAGTCATGACAGCACCTCATAGAACAACACTCTGTAATATCCTACAATCCCAAAACCAACAAACAATAAAGCCGACCTTCACTCATCTGAAACCGTTTTATTTCCTCCACAATCCTCCCCTCCTCTGCAATATGCAAAAGATTTTTTTTTTTTTTCACCTTTTAATTGACTCCACCACCCCCACCCCCACCAGGTGAGAATGACACGCTCGGCTGGTCGGGTCCCCCTGGGATACGCATATTCTATATCCCTGGAGGTATTGACTTGTACACAGCAGCCGGAGGAGGAGGGCGGACCTGGTGGTTCATCATCATCGAGCGGGCTGCCTGAACCTGGAAGTGAAAGCCAATTACTGTTGGCGTCAGAAATGAAGGTGGCAGCGTGGGACGTGGCGTGCAGCATTGGACCACAGCAGGGCAATGCCGGATTTGCTTTTTTTTTTTTTTTTTTTTTTTTTGTATATAGCCCAGCAAAATAGATAAGAGAGGAAATCCATGGGTGGGGGGAGTTCCCCTTTAATATGAGATCATTATCACTGGGTGGCGGGAGAGTTCCCCTTTAATATGAGATCATTATCCCCAGGTGGGGGGGAATTCCCCTTTAATATGAGATCATTATCCCCGGATGGGGGGGAATTCCCCTTTAATATAAGATCATTATCCCTGGGTGGGGGGGAATTCCCCTTTAATATGAGATCATTATCCCCCTGGATGGGGGGGGGAGTTCCCTTTAATATGAGATCATTATCCCCGGATGGGGGGGGGAGAGTTCTTCTTTAATATGAGATCATTATCCCCAGGTGGGGGGGAGAGTTCTTCTTTAATATGAGATCATTATCCCGGATGGGGGGGGGGAGAGTTCTTCTTTAATATGAGATCATTATCCCCAGGATGGGGGGGGAGTTCCCCTTTAATATGAGATCATTATCCCCGGATGGGGGGGGGGAGAGTTCTTCTTTAATATGAGATCATTATCCCCAGGTGGGGGGGGGAGAGTTCTTCTTTAATATGAGATCCTAAATCCCGGGTAGGGGGGAGTTCCCCTTTAATATGAGATCATTATCCCGGGGGGGGGGGGGATTTCCAATATGAGATCATTATCTCCACATCGGTCCCCGTTGTAATTTGCACTAACAATGAATGATACAACTAGATTTTGGCTTCGTTTGCAATTGCGGTGCTCTCTGAAGAGAGCGATCTGCGTTTGGATCGCTCTTCAGAGAGCATTTGACAGGCGGTGAGGAGGTGTCGTATCACCTCCTAAATGCTGGACTACCATGTCCATTGCATTTCGTGTGGTCGCAGGCAGTTGCGGCGAGGTCCCCATTCACTTGAATAGGTCGCGTTCAGCAGGTGGTAGCGCCCGCCGAATGTTAAAGGTGATAGAATTCCTGCCATGAAGCAGAGCATTGCAGCGTCAGGGTCTGACCCCCCCCCCCTGCCCCCGAGGATCTGACCAACAACCCCCCCCCCCCCCACCCCCCCGAAGGATCTGACCGCCCTATGAATATCTATGCAAGAAAGCGAATGTATTTCCACGAGCCCAGACTACACCATTGCAAATCCGTCGTCTTCCAGTGCACCAAAACGACCTAAAAATTGGACATTTCACAACGTTTTTGCAGCATTGCAGTATACAAGTCGCTTTACTGCATCCGGTGCTATTCGGAATGAACGTCACGGCAGTGTGTCGGCTCCCGGAACGCCTGTTGCCATGGCACATCGATGTCATGTGGCCCTTAGACCGATATCTGGTGGTGGTTGGTTAAGGACGATCGTAGATTGCTGTTTCTCTCCACTTTCTGCTCTGAGGCTCCTGAGATGCCGAATCAATATTCGGTTTCAGTAGATGGTGTTCCGGGCCTCGGGAGGGGGGGGATAATTGTCTTTTCTTGGCCCAGTTGAAGGTCGTTTTGTCGCTTTTATTTACAGCCCTCCCCCCCCCCCCCCCCCCCTTCTGAAATTGCATCAGGAGTCGTTTCTCTCCAATTTCTTCACGTTATGAGTGTCTATTGTCTTCCCGGAAAGGAATGAGTCATTTCCATGTCTTGCTCACTAGAATTTCCAGCGACCTTCTAGATTCAGAATGAATCACCGAGTATCGTACATGTGTCTGGGGGCAGCTGGAGCAGCATCGTGTTCTAATGTGTGAACAGATTGCCGTACCCAGATCCTGGAAATGCTGTACCCAGGCCCCAGAAAAATGCCAACTGCCGTACCTAGGCACCAGAAATAGATTGTCATACCTAGGACCCAGAAATACCAACTGGTATGCTCAGACCCCAGAGATGCCATACTTAGACCCCAGAAATAACAGTTGTTGTACCTAGAATCCAGAAATTATTGTACCTAGGCCCCAGAAATACCAACTGCCGTACCTAGAACCCAGAAATAGATTGTCGTACCCAAAACCCAGAAATACCAACTGGTATGCTCAGACCCCGGAGATGCCTTCCATAGACCCCCAGAAAAAACAATTGTACCTAGGCCCAGAAATGCCAACTGCCATACCTAGACCCCAGAAATAACAGTAACCCAGGAATCCAGAAATGGCTGTACCCTAGGATCACAGAAATGGCTAGACCGCAGATATAACATATGTCTAGGATAGGACCAGAAATGGCTTGCCGCACCTAGGATCCAGAAATGGCTTGCCGTACCTAGGATCCAGAAATGGCGATTGTCGTACCTAGGATCCAGAAATGGCTTGCCGCACCTAGGATCCAGAAATGGCGATTGTCGTACCGAGGCCCCAGAAATGCCAACTGGCATACCTAAACACTAGAAATACTGACTGCTGTGCCTAGGCCCAGAAATATCAGCTAACCTGTCTAGGCCCCAAAATACTGACTGACATACCTGGACCCCAGAGATATCAAAAATGCCAGCTGGTATACCCAGACGACTCCAGAGACCCCATACTTCGACCCCAGAAATAAAGATTGTCGTACCTAGGCCCCAGAAATGCAGACTGGCATACCTAGACCCTGGAAATACTGACTGCCTTATCTAGACTCCAGAAATAACAGCTGGCCTATTTAGGCACCAAAAATGCCCTATCTAAGCACCTGAAATACCGACTACCACACCTAGTCCCTAGAAATACCAGCTAGCATACCTAGGGCACCAAAAAATAACAGCGGCCATACCTTGACCCCAGGAATGCTGTACCTAGACCCCCGAAGTACCAACTGCCATACCTAGACCATGGAAATGCTATAACTAGACTCCAGAAATACAAACGGCATACCTTAAAGCCAAAGATACCAACTGGTATACCTAGACCCAGAAATGCCAAATGACACACCTACTCCCAGGAAATACCCTACCTAGACCCCAGAAGTGACAACTGGCATACCGAGACACTGGAGATGCCATCCCTAGACCCCAAAGATACCAACTGCCATCCCTAGACCGCAGAAGTACTGACTGCCATACCTAGACCCTGCAAATGCGGTACCTAGGCCCCAGAAATGCCAGCTGCCATACCTAGACCCA